AATAATTTATTTCAAATAAAACAATTTTTGTCTTATTTTGAAATATACTACTTATATATTCATCTATTAAGTTAAACGTATTTTTTGTAGCCAAACTTCATAGTATTGGTTTAACTAAATGCTTTTAATGAGAACTTTTGTTTTAATGCAGACAATGTAAACAACTAATAATGTCATGGTAACACCTGACCTGAAAATGCTCCACTATTCTTCTAAACAATATAAGAATAACAATAATTTATTATACTAACAGCAGAAATAATGTTACTTCTGGACTTGAAGCGATGAATATCCTTAATAAATAAAAGAATTATCATAAATGAGAACACTTGATAAGCAGTCAACATAAAATTTTCATTTTAACTATTGTTAGAAATACGTGAGGTCTAATTTTTAAAAATTAATTTTAATTCACTGACATTTTGATTTTTACTTGGAAAGGAAATTTTACTTCGGTAGTAGGACTTGGACCAGTGAGCTACTGATTCTATAGCCCTCTATATTGCTCCAGCCATGTTACTATTCTCACGTTCTATCCACTTTCTTGTTTTGGCTCAAAGAACCATCGTCCCTGTCTTTCTGCAATCCACCTTACCATTTTAAACGTGCCAGAATGATAGCTGCTGTCTGGATATGATGGTCAAGCTTGCTTAACTCCATGACCCATCCAGCTTCACTGGCTTAAACGAATGTTCTTGTTGGTCTCCGTGTCAAAAAGGTTGTCTGGATATAATGTCGAATAAATGCACATAAAATCCTGGTGTGATTTGTTTATATTACGTTGAGGGACTGAACAAGAAGGTCATGTCGCTGATGAATAGGATTTGTAACAGCAGTTAGGTTTCTCCATAAGTCGATCAACCAGCATGCCACGCTTCCTCTCCTCTTCAGTAAGTAGGGAGGGGTCATAAATGGTAAATCAGAAATACTGTATATTCCAACTTACCCTGTGATGATTTGAAGCCGGCGATTCACTTCAAATTCCAGCACCAGTTTGTTAATTTAGCGATTAGAATGTCAGCACAATTGATAATCTGTATGTGAACTTCAAAAACTTTCTCAAATTGTCTGAATAAAGAAAGTAGGGGAACGCAAATGTCTCATCAACATTGTTACGACAAACCTGCCATTTTACTTAAGAAAATCTTATGAATCTGTTTTAATCTGAATAGTGAATTTTCTTAAGGTAGTGCAATTAACAACTAATATTGTGATTCAAAGCATTCCTATAAAAGAACTAGCTGAAATTTTCAAATAATTCGTAAACTATTTTGTACTACTTATAAGTAGGTAAAATTGGCTGAGACATTTTATTTCACTTTCAAGTTACATCACAAACTGATTTCAGCGAGCGAAGCACTTAAATCCAGGAATTACTGAACACAGGTTTCGTCATAGTTTGGAACCTTCAGCAGTATGCAGTCTAGGACCTTCGGGTTGTCAGTCGAGCGCAGTGACCACTCGTACACTGGGACGGAATGAGACAGCCGAACCAATGTCATCAGCAAGTTACGTCCTCGCACCCAACTCCTATTGGATAGCACTGGTCATGAATTATTACTAGAACTTCAGGTAATTTCATCCTATAATCAGTCAATAGTGAGCATTTGAATAATTTTTAAGTGCTAGTTTTGCGGTGATTGGATTAGTTCCAAGTTGGGCCAATGATCAATTCCAAAATCACCCTTATGATGAGTTTGTGAGAATTTGACCGTTTTAAGCAAAGATTCAATGACTAATAATCATGAACTTGAGAATCATCACTTCTCTTTTTGTCACCTCACTATTTTCTTCATGAATAGTATGGCATAAAAATACTTCATTTGGGTGTGAACGTCACAATAAACGTTTTCATACCACATAAAAACTAATGGCTTTTAAATTGTGTAGGGAACAAGTTTTAGCTGAAACCTTTATGAAGGATGGTAATGGATTTCTTTCTAACTTGCAGATTTATAATATGCCCTGACAATCTTTTAGTCTTTTGAGTGAATACCTTTTGTCTGCTATAATTTACTTAGACTTATCATGAGTTATGCTTTAGTGGTCGACAAATTTAAGATTTACCCTTTGGGTTACAGATCCGTAAAACACCAATCTTATCATAATGTGAACAGTTTAGAAGATAACATATAATCTATTTAAGTAATTTACGGCAATCACTTTGCACATTTTGTTCACTTACTCTTCATTCATATTCTCTACTTCTGTGTGGTTTTATGAAGTGTGCTACTCTAAACTCATAGACTCTGTGCAAAGTTTCCTCCTATCCTATTAGCCAGTAATAGCTTTTCTTCCTATGTCACTTTATTCAAACCTCGTTCATTCTCAATATATGAAAATGAAATTGTTTGAATTTTACGAGTGAGTGATGTCACATGTCAAATGATTCACTACGGAATGCTTAGCGAAGACTGTGATGTGAAGATAGAAGCAAGACAAGGATGCCTATAATCACCGATGATATTCTTGATTCTGGTGGACTGGATCACGTAACTGACTTTTGGCGGCTGGGAAGGGGCTGAGGAGACGATCGTACGTTAGACTGTTGAGAAGTCTCTAAAAGACTTCAACTCCTTGGACTATTTTTGTCCAGTGTCAAGTAAATACGAAAATCTACAAGCTAAAGCCAACAACTTCATAGAAAAAGCAGCGAAGACAAGAATTCAAATGAATACCTAGAAGACATGAGTGATGAAGGTACCTAAGGAACAACAACAAGCAGCCACTCATCGTCAACGGGAGAAATCTGAGGGAAGTTGTCTCTCTCATTTATCATAGCAGCAGTATTTTAACTACAGGCTGTTTGGATGATGATGTCGAAGCCAGGACCAAAAAAGCTGGACAGACCCTCATTACTCTGAAATCAGTGAGGAAATCTACTGTGGTCAGCATGAGAAACGAGATTCGAATTCTTAACTTTGATATAAAGTCATTGCTTCTGTATTGTTCAGAGACTTGGTGGACGCTTTACGGAAAGCATTCCCAACAGGCAACTGAAGACTTTCACCTACATTTGCCTTCGCTCCACATTGAATGTCAGACGGACAAAAAGGATGAAGCTTTATCTCTTTAAAAAATACTTATTATACGATTGGTGTTACCCAGCAGTAGAATCATACCATATATTTAGGATACATCACAACGAGTGGTTTTTTACTGCTGAAATTTGAATGCAGTAACATCGTTTCATTTGTGCTTTAGAATCTTAGTGGATAACACTTCGATGATTGAAGACAACGATTCCAAGTGTGAGTCTCAGTAGGAAGACCATTACTCACTGGAAATGAAGGATTTACATCTGATGAATCGAAAATAAGACAAAATGAGAATCCTGAACCTCATGTTTTGCATGTCTTAAGTGCAAAGAAATCTATTAATGTAGTTCACTAGTGAATATTATTCCATGTATTTCATACATTTACATTGGATAATTGGAGGCAATCAGCAGGAAACTCAGCCTAACCTAGGTCTCGTGCTTGTTGGCGGTCGTCGTCAGGGCGTATATGAGGCCTACAAGAAACTCATATCACCTCTGAGATTCTAACCCATATCACCCAGTGTTGCAGTCACAAACGTAACCAATAAGCCCTTAGGGCTAGCGACTGACCTCTTGTTGGACTGCAATGTATACTTCGATTGGTCACTACTAATACTGTGGTGTGTGCTACTTATAATCCGATATAAGTAGTATATCAGAAAGCGAATTCAGAAAAGTAACAATATGTTTGGCACACTGGAAAGAGCAATCAAAGAAGAGAACCATGAGAAGAATGTTGCCATATGATGCAGAATCCAAGAAGTTATCGAATGTGACGATATTTGACCAATTCGTCAAGGATGTGGTAAATGAGGTGCAAATGGAAGGTTGAGAATATGGTATACCAAATTTACCTATGTACCATACGTTTCACCAAATAAACATTCCTTCCAGCCTCCTCAGTCTTTGCTTCTTTACAATACCATGCACCTATTTCTTGGGGTGGTGTAGATTGAACACTGTCAGTCAGGTTCGAATCTCAGACAGGACAAGACTTCAGATTCTCCTTGCTGACGAATTCTAACAAGATGATTGCCTCCAATCATCTAATATCACTTTATTGTGCCCTGAGTTAGTGAATCACATAAGACTTATCACACTGCAAACTTGACTGATAGAATTCATTCTGCACCAACCGAAGGACTACACTCATGACATGGTTACTACCTGGTGACTAATCAAAGTACACATCTCTATACCTGAAAAAGTATGCTCAGTAAATTAGTGTATCTGTTACGAATTTGAGCAATTTCAGAATGACGAAGCTGTATAGAATTTTATTATTTTTATCCCAACCTAATGTCATCAACCGCTATGTTAGCTGACATAGAATCGGACTTGAAAAGAGAAAGGTGTGGATGGTATTAATCCATGAAGTCCTGGTCTGTTGATATGAGACACAGAGGGAGATTTAGACAGCCTGATTGGTCTCATTGACTCTGAAACATTCACTCGTTGTGAACCCTCAGAACCATCCAACCGTCTTTATTTCGCAATTAATCATTCGTTTTCTCTTAAAGTTCCATTTATCAAAGTCTCTTTGCATTTCTTTTATTTATCTCTACGTTTATGTGTTACTTTATAAAGTGTACAACTTTAGACTGGTGCATTTTATGCAAACTTCTGTGGTGAAAATTCAGTTCAATTTATTTTAAGTGAACTTTCTTTTTTTATTTCTGTGGATTTGTTTTATTTTTTGGACAGTAAATTAGTTACATTGTGACAATTTTGTATTAGATAATGCACTTTTCTCTATGGTGAATACCTGGACATGACACTTTGATGCGATTTAACTTAACTGATTTAAACTCAACAAATTAACCATTGAATATTTAACAAACAACTATTCAAATCTGTCCTTTTTTTTAACAATATGATGTAATTATTCATTTCTTTCATGTTAGTTGATTTAATCTCATCAATGTGTATTTCTCTTTCTTTGTTTATTTTACGCATCAAGTTCTTATTTCGGTAGGGAGTATGAAGCCAGCTGTCATACGTATTTAGATGGACATAAATGTGAAAGAGATTTAAATCATATTTCAATTGCTACAATAATACCGCCAAGAAATGATTGAATTCTATACAAACAACATTTCAATGTGGAATTTAAAAAAACAGATTATTGAACATTGGACATTTAGTCATAAATACTGAGACCATATTATGTGTATGTCAGGAATAAATTATCAAATATATATGCATATATATATATATATGTTATTGAATTTGAATCTTAAGTTTGCATTTTTTCTAACAGATTATATTTTTAGCCTACATAAAAGACGGTAGAAATATGCGTACACGTAACACCTAATCTGTTCCAGTGTATACGTATATCTGTACGCATGGCTAGCAGACCAGAACATGATAAACCAAGATGACTACAAGTGCAGAAAAATTTGTATTTTCAATTCAAAGAATTGAAATTCATTATTAAATGACTGTTTAAGAGAAACAGATAAAACTGGTTTCAAACATTATATATGAAAGGGAAATTCAAGTGACATTACACACCTGTCCCTCGAGTGAAACCCAAAATAGTAGTGATTGATTAGATATGGGTCCTAGAGTGATATGGAGCAAATGAAAGCTTATGGACAGTCGTGTAGACGGTTAACGTTGATGGCAGAAAACGAACTCAAGTTGAGATATACTGCTGAAGTCTGACGTTCTAAGCGGAAAACAGGGAATGTTACTATATGTATGACATCAACAAGAATATGGAAGTTCAACACATCTACCTAGCTTACATAATCGAATAATAATCCTACAGCGACATCTGATTGTTTCCACGATAGAATTCATTATGAACTATTGAAAACCGGGAAACACTGAACAGTTATTATGTCGAAGTTTGGTACTGTTCAGCAGTAGGCACACATGAACTTCAAGTGACAAGGCAAGCATATTAGCATTCTGTCAACGGGTGACATTTCAGCAGCTCATATAATAAATAGTTAAATGAAGTTATTTGAAAGATATTTCAACAATATTTTAAGTCAACACTGATGGAGATAAGGTTCTAAAAATTATTGTATTTGAATTATTTGAAGACTAACTACCTGTAGTCATGACAAATAATAATACTTATTATTCGGACGATGCACTAACGCGATAGTGGGTGCTGACTGCATCGAAGATATCTAACGAATTGCTTATTGAGGGGGGGGGCGCTTTCAACTACTTATACCAGTCAGTAGTATATACACCACTTAATAATTATAGTGGTTCGAAACTAGTATGAAACAACTATCTGGTACTCCCTGGTGTTCAGTGGTTCTCTAAATGACATCAATCAGCCAACCAACCTAAAAATAATCAAGTCTCTGTAAACCATCTTTCAAAAACAAAGTCTAATGTTCACTAATGATTGACCATAGGATGAAGTAACCTGGAATTCTAGTGAGAATCCACAGATACTCACCACTGACACTTACTGGAGGTGACGCTACACATCCCAAAATAGCTGGAGACATGGTTCATAGATAACTGGCCTTTTTCTCCCATGGGCTAAAGGATCAACGGACTTGCCTGTTAATGTGATGTCGCTGGTTTGATTTCCTAAGTGAGCTGGTCAATGCATAATGCTGAAGAGTCTCAAGCTAGGAGGAAACAGCTATTCAGCACTCCCTAGAGTCCATCCGTGATCTAACCTGAACTTAATCAAATTCGTGGTAACCAACACTTAAAAACCATAACAATAATTGGCTGAATTTACATGTTAATCAACGTTTCCTCGAGAAGATAGGAATACAACAAAACATCTCCTCACCTGTTGGTGACAGACACTGAATATCCCCTTCGGACAAATAACAATGATTGCTAAACAGTAATTAGAATTCTCTCAGCCTTAAGAATTCTAATTTCATGTGTAACCAAAGAGTAATTGAATTGTCAATTAAATTTGCTTCGTCCATAGGCTGTATTCACCTAAATTCATACACCTTCATTCAGCATTTATCCTGCCGACTAGGGACATTAGTATTCTAAGTTTAGTGAGAAAAATAGTTACTGTGATCACTGCTGATTTTTCTAATATCACTTTTAAATTGTTGATGAGACTATTTGGGATAGCCCTAGATTTACAGATTACAAATGACGTAACCAGGGTTTGTCTGCCAATTTCCACTAATGCTGAGAGTAATACTAGACAGACAAGCTGACACTTCATTGAACTTCTCCCATTCTGGTTTCATAAAGGACAGTTGAAACCATTCGAAGCTATGTTTCGTCGTTTTCTAAGTGTTTCATCGCATTCCACTGAATCTTTTTAACGACCTTCGCATTTTTCTACTGCATATGGCTATAGTATTTGGCATTCACACTATTAAGCCCAAATTATATATTCAGAAGAATTTTGTACAGCTGTTTTCTCTCCGTTGTCTAGTTAAGAATCAAACAAGTGACTTATCAACTCCTATTGTCAGTGCTGGTGGACACTGAATCGTTTGTTTATTCGAACTGGTCTTTATTTGGCGGCTGACAAGGAAACTATTGTTGCTTAGTCGTATGTTGGTTGGAAGAAGATGGGAAAAATGCAGTCAGAAGTATTGTTGTACATTCTACTAACGTGTATTTACAAATCCTTCCAACAGTAACCGGTCTCGTTATCGGTGGAAGAATAAAAGATCGTATTGTCCTAACGTTTTCTGTTGTTCCACATGGGCTACTGTACATAGTATTTTGAGTACCAGACCTCGTCTTCCAAAACCAGCCGTAGACGCAGGATCTTTGGGATCTGTACATCTGACACACTTCTCAATCTTACAGCATTAAAGGGTCGCTTATTTAGATCTACTACAATCTAGCTCTACTTAGTCTGACTATTTGTTTTCTTTAAACTTTATCTACTGCGTCTATCTATTTTACCCCCTTTTCATTTTTCTTGTTATCATAAATCCCTCCATCCTTTAAACTATTTTATCAATAGAATTATTACTGCTACTATAGTAAAACTTTTTTGTAAGCGGTTGACATTAGATATACCGACAAAATAAAATGGACACATTTTCTCTGTTGTATTTGTCATTATTACTTTCTTGAATTTCATTGAGGGGAATGAGTGTTTTCGATTATTCTATGCTCTCTTTGTATCAGCCAAGACTACGCTAAAGTTATCTGACTTCTCTGATCAGCTAAAAATACTTTATTGATGGACATCACCTATGGGATGCAATTAGAGAAATAAATTGTCGTAAATAAATCTGGCTACTTGTAAGTAGTATATGTTTATATACCTAAACTTCTGTACTCTATGACCAAGTTTTCTCTCTTCTTCAGTCTTTTTATTTAGTCACAAGTGTCGTAATTTGATTCATTTCTTGTTAGGTCTCTTCATTCAATATCGACTGTTGCAGGGGGAAACTTGGCCATATCAGGAGCTATTCACGCATTCCAAGTGTCTGTGATCCCGATACTAAGAGAATATAGATAAGCCCTCGAAGAAAAATTTCTGAAGAAAAATCGATATCCACCTCGTTTCATAGATAAAAAGAAAATAAAAAAAACCTACAGAAGTTTGTATATCTTCTGTATGTAATATTTTTTATTCCATAGGTAAACCAAATTTTAGCATCCTTCAGATTCCATAAGAAACTAAATTCGTCTTTGTATCACTGAAAATAGTGTCTTTCAAACGGCCGTTATCCTGCAACATGAAGAGCAACATCTTGAACTTGACCAACTCTATGCCTGCATAGTAGTTCATACGCTTCTTTGGAGCTGTATAGATCAGTCATTTGATGGATTTTCAGACCAAAAGACTTCAAAACCACTACTCCGTGTAGTTAAGGAGAGGTGGATATGAGTCTCCAGGAAATGAATATACTGGACATTTCTTCGACACTGGTCATTTTTTTTCACAAAACCTCCTTCTTTCTTAGTTATCTAAAGATTAAATATTCTCTACCCAAATCATTTGGCATCCACCTTATCTCCTGAGACTTCAACCACAGAAATGGAGAGACCGGAGCTTTGTTTACAAAGGAATTTTGTTGAATATCTCTTCCTTTTTTAATCTTAATTCACCTACATTAAAAAAATTCCCAAGACGAAAAATTCTTCCTCTCTTCGTTTTCAGTAACTACTTTGGCAACAGTTGGTTCTCTAAGCACTTCTCCTGATTACGCAACTCCTTATCTGTAATTCTTGGCCTTTGTTAAGCATCCGTTATATTTTCATTAGCAATCATTATTCATGAAACCTATGTATTCATCCCCCTAGTTCAAATGTAAGACTATTTCTTATAACTGGGATCGGGGCTCGATACTGAAGTGTAACACGCAATTAGAATGAATACCAGATATAACGTATCGTCCAAAATATCTTGTGCTGCAATCAGTCCATGGAAAATATCAGCAGATAAGACTGATTTGTAACGGTGAGAATATCAACTTTATTAAACGGAAATACATAACATGTATGTATTCACTATCAATACTCGTAAAACTAGGCTAGTCTCGGTGGTTAAATAAGTAGTTTATTTCTGTCTATCAGATCCAAAATTTGGCATAAGATTAAGGATAGAACATTCACATTATAACACAATCTTCTGCCTCAGGAGCAAAATTAGCGGTGGAATTGACAACATCGGATGACAGGACTCTGAAAAGATTTACCTACAGAAAACCATCACGGAATGGTCAACTGAAAAACATCTACAACTGGATACCTGTGAGTCATAAGAGAGCTCTCATCATTCCGCTGGTCTACTGTATTAGAAGAATTTGTAGCATTCACTGCTTAGAAGGAAATTTCTTATTTCTGAAAAAATATCCTAGTTCAAAAACGATACACTGCACGGCTTGTGGAGGAAAACATGAACTTCGGTATCAGAGAAAGTACTGCAAATGAATCTGGACTTCAGGGGAGACTTAGAAACAAATATCTTAGAGGGGATAATCTCTAGTTCCCTAAAGAAGACCTCTCCTGCAACAACACTAAGAGTGGTTTTCTCTAGATACCCACTGCTTCTAAGCAGTATGAAGGACAGACTTCCGTCTATGACCACTCTAATGTGCATATGTCAATTCACCTGCTCTTGTGGAGCTACGTACATAGGTTTTTCTTTGAGTGTCCTTTCAAAGTGTGCTGGAGAACATTACCCAGCATGGCTGCAAAGACGAGGCACTGGTCCAGTCAGAAGCGCCATAGCTGAACACCTCACCAACACTTAAAACAGCATCTCAACTGACCCATCATTCAAAATCATTAGAGAAATGAACAGAAATCTACCAAAGGCAATGTGTTTCCAACTCCTTTGTAGTTCAGGAGCCCTCGCCATATGTGTCGAGGATCCGAAGCTGTGTTCAAAAGAAACTACTCCAACCTCTACATTCACCATGGATCTAGTTCGGTTTGACCCTTTAGTTTTTGTTTTCTGTTCTTCTCATTACCTTCCCTTTTTTCAACCTTGGTAACAAAAAATATGATTTCTCTTAGTTTCCATGCCTATCCAGTTTATACTTGTCTTCATTTAACACCATTTTACGTATTACGCAACTGTATTCTAATCCTGCGTAATTTTGTTTCTAAGCCCCCTTGTAATCTATATTCACACTTTCGAAAGTTTATATCGGGTTAAAAATTATTATCACGTCTAATCTCCCTTGTCATTATATGGAATTAGTAATTGTATCTATGTGAACTTATGTATATAAATGCAATTGTACAGCTGCCGAAAAGGTACCGTTACTGGGCCTCTTGTTCTCTTCTGTTTAATGTCCTGATGGGTATATTGCACGATTTAAATGGGAATTTTCGATATATTGAAAGACGAATTAAACAAACGTTTGTTGTTACTAAATGTAGAATTTAATCAGGTTGCAGATTTCTTAATTCTCATACTTACTCATAACTTCGTTACCTAGATCATGTTTCTTATGTGTCTGGCAGTAAGACACGCATATTGCGCTATACCTCTTCGTCCAGTTTGATGTAAGTGGGTCGAGATCCCAGTCTGGCACAAATTTACTAATTTAGCGCCAACCACTATGCCCACATAACTGATCGGTGAATATCTGCTCTGTCTGAAATCATTCCTAGTGAATCATTGATGGTAGGTTGCTGAAACACGCATTCAACTGTTCATAGTCAAAATCCAGGACACTTTTAGCATAATCATTTAGTAATTCTCTCTCACTCTCTGTTTACACATTTGCTTACCGTGGTATCATTCCGCTTCAATGCATTATTTGGCCACCTAAACATTGTTAACTGGAGAGGAATTTGAAGTCACCGATCACCCTTTTAGTAGCTTAGTTCGTTGGAGCCAATAAATCCAGTGTTACTTTGTCTACTGAATAGACCACACAGTGTTTTTTCTTACTGGATGACGTTACGAACACATATTATTGTTTATAACAATACCAGTTGTCATTACGTAACTCCGGAACTTGATTTTTTGAAATAGTCCTCTCTCTTCTTTTTAATTTGTTAGGAGGTTAGTACGATTCTCCATTTGTGCGGGATAGACATTCAGACATTCCTATTGCACGTGTTCTGGGATAATTCAATAAATAAAGCCTTAGTTATCAGTATCTTTCTCAATCTCGTTACAAGAAATTTTCGTACGGTCATTCTGACCCATCCATCCTGTTGTATGGAATGCAATCAGACGTGATACTTTTAGGGTAAACCAATATGGATTTCGCTTCGCTAATCTAGTTCACCCTGTTCTATTAATTTGAACTACGTATATTCCACTAATCTTATTTCCGCTGACTGGGAGTAGGATGAATCGAAAACCAAGTATATCTGTTTGAATGTGCGGATTTCCTGTAAAAACAGTAGTGGTGTTTAATCCCACATGTTGTTTCCTTTCCCAAGTGCAGTCCCACATTGGAAGCTCCACATCATTAAATTTCCAATTTATTGCCACATAATCACAAAATAAGACAAAAGAGAAAAACTAAAATGCAAAGAAACTGTAATAGACAGATATACTCAAAAGAAAGGAGAATTTCATAGAGAATAATGAAAATTTAAATACATCTCTAAGAGATCACACAGAGTGGATGCATCTGCACCACTGACAATGATTTTTCACCACATCACCAGCCATTAATTCTTGGCGTCACGAAGGTCCCAGCCAAGTGGTTTAAACCTCCCCACGCGGCTAGAATCAAAAGCCAAAGACTTCATGAATAGATGCCAGCCCTTTAATTCAAACTCAATCGTATATTAAAATACTAATCACAGTCGTCATGCTACTTTAGCTTCAGTCTAAGAAACGAATCTCGAATGCATATTATGGATTTCGGTACCAGTGTGGTGAGAGCTGTCTGCTAGCCGAAATTGGTAGACAGAAATTTACGTCAATGTTTGCGTCCTAAATCTTGGTCAAGAGAAAAAAAACAAGAACAAAGACTAACTCAATAACCAATCACAGCAGACTTAGCGTGGGCGGATACGATTAGCAGATATATCAACGGACTGTCTCAGAAACGGCAACAAAGAGATGACAGAATAACCTTCAGTAGGAAAATAACCAATCAGAAGACGTTACCTCTCTGCTAACAATAACGAATAATAATGTACATGAAAATCTATAAATATCTGTTGATTTTCTCAATAAACGATCTGTTGCCTAGCCCTTGTCTTCTGTCGTTACACCCTGCTTGCTGCTAACCAAACATTTCTACAAATAATTGCTTATCAATTTTGCCCACAGATTGATATCAGTTAGAGAACTATTGAAAGCCACGAAGTGGTAGAGGTTGGAATTCATGGGTCATTAAGTCGGGTCCCAATGCTTGAATATTCCACCAGCCCTCCTTGTAACCGGAAGGTCCTGGGTTCGAAACCTAGTGAACGTGTGCTGTCAGTGAGTCCCAAACTAGGACAAAACAGCCATCCTGTTCTCCCTGGCTTTCAATGCTTCTCTGACTGATAACAATCCGTGGTCAAAATTGAAACAAATGAAATCCTTGCAAACTGACTCTTGTAAACATCAGAATTCCATTGTTTATCGTAAAGAAATCGTATTCATGTTAGGGACACTATTGCAATTACTTTCCTTCGTGAATAATTACAAACACCCATAAATACTAACTTAGTCACAACAAAGATAAGCTCGCTGGTTTTGAGGATATTTGATTGATTACACATCAGGAGTTCATGTCAACTGTCACCTACTTCACCGTGATAAGTGTCATCTGTGCGCTTATACAACCATTGCAGTTGATACCATAGTACATGAAAAATCTTTCAGTTGTAAATAATCTTAACTACTAAGAACAACCACTGCACTTAATGAAACACAAGTGTACTGCTTATTATCGAACCACGCTCAAAATAATAAACGTTTCTCAAAACGACAAAAGTAGAGAAAATCTAAAGCGATTGAACTGTTAGACAGTTTGAGGCAATCAGCAGGAAGCCCTGTCTAACCTATGTTTTGTGCTTGTTCGTACTTGTCGGCAAGGTGTATCTACAGTCTTGGAGGAACTCATGTCCCTTCTAAGATTCAAACCCCAGTTGCTACGTGATACAGTCAGAGACGTTACCACTAAGGTTTTTGGGCTTGTAATTGACTTCTTGTAGGATTACCTAGTGTACAATCAAAGCAGCCATTGGATTCTCGTTTAATCACCGGAAAGTGAATCAAAACTCATAAGACAGTGGGGGTTACTCAACTACTTCTCACAATTTTCACCACAACCCGCACTCACTCGCCTAGCAATTTCAATTTCAGGTCAATCTTTATATGGAAAAAGGACAAAATCAAATTCTCCCAAAAATATTTATTTATTTGTTTATTTACACACATTACAAACCCATAATTATGTAGAAAAAGTAATATAAATATTTTGTTTACCTATTTATTTGCTCACCATACACGGAAAAGAAACAAACAACATGAAACAAAACAGAAAACACAAACAAACAAAACGAGAATTGAATTGGAGAAGGATTCGAACCCATGACTGACTGGGCGAATGCTGACTACTTAAAAAGTCAGCGTTAGGGAGAAGGAAGTGATTCAAAAGTGATACTTTAAACTACTATTATCACATGTTAAGACAAAAGAATAAATGAGTGAAGTAACCAAAAATCATTAAGGTCAAAAAATACATTAGAATACACTCTGCATATCCATAGTCTGCATTCATCCACTACTCATGGTACTGTTGCTGCTGCAGTAGTAGTAGAAGTAGTATTAATACCCTCGACTGTAGGTAGAATTGTTGACGCTGAAACCAACTGACATAAATTTGGTATACTTCGTAGATTACGCATTAACAAACATCGACCATTTTCATATTCTCGACGTGATACAAATAAATTTAATTCAAATTTAGTAAAATCATTCGATGCATGATCTGGAGGTATCGATGCTACTGGAATGGCTAGGTCACGTCGACGAATACGTTGAAATGTACGACTCAATATCTCAATAGAAGCTGACAACAGAGTGTTAAGTGAATGAGCATCTTGAGCCATATTTGGTGGAATTGAAGGTGGAGAGGATAGACTCGAACTGGCTACATTCCCTAATCCATTATTATTATTATCCAAACTGGGAATATTAGCATTGTTTCCATGTGGAACTGCTTGAACATTAGGCGGGATATTCATAACATGATTGTCTACAGGATTTACTGGCTGATTTTGTCTTGGTTGGTCAGCAACGTCAGGTTGTTCACCTACTGACGACGAAGAAAATGACTGAGATGGAGGAGGTGGTTGTTCACCAAAGTAACCTCGATTTCTTTTACTTTTCAGTGTTGACATAAGATACTTAATTAAATCGGAAAAAGGGAACAAAATTAAAAGGGGAGTAATTAGTAAATATTGCAAGCAAAAAGACATAAACTAGGCTTTACTTATGAATAATATCAAGTGAAATTTCTCAATGATACAAAAAGGGGGAGAGTAACCTTCTTCTATGTGCGTCTGTGGTATAGCGGTTGGGAGGCTCGCCAACCATACACATGGTCCGGGGTTCGATTCCCAGCCGACGCACTCCCTTACCTCGCTGAGCCAGAAATAATGCTAGTAAAGAGGAAAGGTTGGGCATGAGGCTAGCGACCCCATCCCGTAAAATAAACACTGCTACAGAAACTTCAAGCCACTAGCTTGAAGCCCTATGTTCCACTGGGAAACGTGAAGGAAAAAAACCCTATTCTAATACCAAAGGATCCCATATTTAAAACAAATATTGACATCCTATGACAATGAATGACAATACATTTAGCTTATCCAAAGTGTAAGACAGGTGGTGACAAAAACACCGAAGCTCAACAGGAAATCGTTTACTGTTGTAGATTTTTTCTTACTCTTGGAATGTTATTGCCTTACTTAGTAACAATTATTCGTTAATTAAGAACCAGTTACCCAAATGAGATTCCTCCATATGCCATGCTATAAGCTTTCGCAGACTTTTATGCTTTTAATGATTTGGTTTTTGGAGGTAGGGGGTACAAACACACTAGGATATACACAAGGCAATATGGTTTTTATTTGACGGACACACACTAAAAGTCAGATAGACTTCATCTCAATTTCAAGAGAGCGGAGACGCAGCCTACTGGAAGCAAAATGGAGCAAAATGGAGGAGAGAAGCAGATATGGAGTAAAGAACTTTCAGCAAAGTTAAACTTTAAGCACCAGTAAATACCAACAGACAAATGAAGTTGAACACATCAACCATATGATAAAAACAGTTTTGTGCGTATAAAATACATATATTCATGATAATAATAAATTAGAAGGCGTGAAACTGTTACACAGGATACCTTTATCTGAAGTGCGACAAAAATGCTTACCGGTTTGGGATTGGACCGTCAACAGAGTAATATAACCACATTCCATGATATTAGATGGTTGGAGGCAATCGGCAGGAAGCCTTGGACCTAGGTTTCGTGCTAGCTGGCACTCGTCAGCAAGGCGTATCTGCAACCTTGAAGGAACTCATGTCCCTTCTGAGATTCGAACCCGCGTCACCCAGTGCTGCAGTCACAGACGTTACCACTGAGCTTCCTGCTGATTGCCTCCAACCATCTAATATCATCACAAACAATGTACACCGTGATGGCGAGCTACCTAGAATGGTGGCCACATTACAACCTGACTGATAGAATTCAGTCTGCACCAAATAGAGGACTAGACGCATCACACTAGTTAGTAGTGTCAAATCAAAATAACCGCATTCTATGCATGCAATTATCTAGGTCTTCTAACCCTAATCTTTCCTTAACCCAACCCTAACGTGGAGATATCCCCAAACTAACCCTGATCTAACTCGAACCACCCCTAATGTCGCCTTTATTAGGCTAACCTAACCCTAAACTATCCTTAGCCTAAACACTAACTTCATCTTTCCCAAACCTAAATTGAAAATTGCCAGATATCCCATTTAGGAACATAGCACTTCGTTAGGCATATTTTATTCGTGATTACAACACTATTTACCAGGTTTTACCAACTTGCTCACTGAGCGTTTCAAGGTTGTTGGTACGGTCGTACTCCACTGGTGCTTAAAGTTTAACTTGGCCGAACTTTCGAAAAGCCTTTAAAGAAGCTTAGGATAGACCACAACTCTAATTCAACACTCAGAAACTGAAAAATAAAACTACAAACGACAACTTCATTGCAGTTATCAGAGCAAAGTTAAAGATATTACACCGTGTCACCGAAAAAATCTGTGTGAAAGAGCACTGGAACTCTCTGAAAACAACGTTGAAGGAAGCCTGTGCAGCAGTCTTAGGAAGAACACACGAAAGCAACAGAGGACAGAAGGATGGTGAAACAGAAAGTGAAGCAACGCAAAGATGGACAACAAAAAGAGAAGGCGAATTCAATGTACAACGCATCAAATAAAGAAGTGAAGAAGAGTGCTACAAAAGACAATTCTACGACACACTGGAAAATGAAGCAGAGAAGACCACAGGTAAGGGAGACCTCAGGACATTATATCAGAAAACCAGGTAGTTAGCAGGGAAGTGATCGACACAGATAAAATCTATGGGAGGTAATGAAAGGAACCGAATTACCAAAGAGGAGGAGCAAAGGAAACAATGGGCTGATGACTTCAAAGAACTCGTGAACCAATCACAACCTACGACTTATCCAGAAGCACCACCAACACCCACAGTACTACTGGTGAACACCGATCATCAAAAAAAGCAGTTTTGAAATCCAGAAAGCTACTGAAAGGTGGAAATACAGCAGGACCAAATAGAATTCCTCCAGTAACACGGAAAAACGATCCAGAGACCTCGGATTATATCGCCACGCCATTATTACAAGAACTTTAGGGAAGAAGAAAGGTATCTACTGATTGGAAGAAAGGCTGCCTTGTCAAACTAGCGAAGAATGATTTAGGCCATTCCAAAAACTGGCGTAGAATCATGCTTCTGTTCACGTCAAGCAAAATACTGAGTCATGTCATCCTGGAAAGACTAAAAGATGTTCTGGATACAAAATTTCACCCGAAACAAGCTGGATTTAGGAAAGGCAAATCATGTGCGGATCAAATTGCAACGCTAAGTATCATAATCAAACGGACCATCTCTGCCTCAAGTTCATCCACTTTGAAAAAGACTTCGATAACGTTGACCGAGAAGCAATTTAGAAACTGTTTCAACACAAGAGAGTGTCCAAAGTATTTATCAGCCTCATTCAAAAGCTATATACGATAACGCCACATCTCCAGTGGTCCACAGCGTAAAAATCTACGAAGCTTTTGAAGTGAATACAGCAGTAAGATAAGACTGCCTACTATCACCGATGATATTCCTGATTGTGGTGAATTGGATCATGCGGCGGACCATGGGGAGCGAAAAGGCACATATACGCTCGGGGCTGACAAGAAGACGCTAAAAGATCTGGACTTCTTGAACGATTTATATCTAATACCAAACAAACTCGAAGACCTACAGACGAAAACCGAAAGTTGGCAGAAGAAGCGGAGAAGACAGGAGGTGACAGCTCATGGGCAATCGTGAAGCCCCTGCTAAAGAAGACTGCAAAGAACAGGATGAAATGGAAATGTGTTGTTTAAGCGTCATGTTCCACTTAGAATCCAAAGGAATAATTTTAAAAAATAAGTGGGCTATAAGTCACACGAGTGCGTCGGTGGCACAGCGGTAAGGACGCTCACCGATAATGCACATGGTCCGGGGTCCAATCCCCGGCGGACGCACTCCTTTATCTCGCTAAGCCAGTAATAAAGCTGGTAAAAAGGAAAGGTTGGGCATGAGGCTAGCAACCCTATCCTGTAAAAGAATAAACACTGCTACAGAAACTTCAGGCCTCTAACTCGAAGCCCTATGTTCCACTGGGAACATGAAGGAATAAGTCGATATACATAAGTCACACATTATATGAAAGCTGCTCAAACTACTATTCAGTTGTCCAGGTTGAACTAGGACTCGGAACCCACAGATTGAGAGTCCATTGTGTTGAAGCTAATCAACTACATCTCTACTCAGTTCGCTTCACTTTACAGACTATTGCATCGACAGTAGAATTGTTTTCTCTGTAAATGACTCAGAAACACTAGTTAAAGATTTAACAACAATTTTAGTTGACACAGATGTCTCTGTGATGGTTGAAAATCGTGACTTTCCGGTGTACTTAAAATGGCATACATTAATGTACACATTTTAGTACAGTCCGATATGAAGTAAATTATGTCTTTAACAATCTTTATCCGACCATTAGTTTGCAACTGTGCGAAGTTCTGCGCTGAAACCCAATCAGTCGGCTACTGGAGGACAATTGTAGCAAGGCCAAATGAATTAAAAAAGTCAATAGGTAGTCGGTTGTGAAACAACAATAGTCAAAAAGGAATGCCTTAACATTATACTTCAAACATATCAGTTTAATGTGTTCGCAGGTTTATACTGCAAACTATTTTGATGATATTATTTATTATCTTTATTTCAACATGTTCCACATTGAACATAGAGCTTCAAGCTTGGGCTTTGGAAGTTTCAGCAGCAGTGATTTCATTTTTACATGGTGGGATAGCTGGCCCCACGCCTAACCTTCCCGCTTTACTAGCCATACTACCGGTTTAGCAAAATTGAGGAGTTCAACAGCCGGGGGTCGAACTCCGGACTACGTGCATGATTGACGCGATTTCTACTGCTGGATTAATGACACACATAATAGGGAGTACTGGACGTCTGTTTCGTCTTAGTTTGGGATTCTTCATAAGCACGAACTCACGACCTTTTAGTTACAACAAGGCGAGCGCCTACACCATTCCGCCACTCGGGCGCTATTTTGATGAAGTTTAAACTAAAACAACAAAAAAACATTTCTGTATGTTGTAGTATTCATGATGATGATAAAACAAGACAATAATCGAGCCAGATTGATGACAACATACTCAACTTGATGGGTCTGTGTTACACTCTGGTGTGGGATTATGAGTGCATACTACATGTATGCCTCAGACTGGATACAAACATTAGGCTTTTTATCTCTTTTTTTTATTTCTTGCCATCCGAATAGAATACAGGATTTCAAGCTTTTGAAATTTCAGTGGCAGTGAGATTGTTTTAACGGGGTGACATAACCAGTCTCACGAGTAGCCTTCCCTCTAATCTGGAATCACTACCTACTAGACGAGATTTACAAGTGCGTCGGCTAGGAATAGAAACCGGATCTCCAAAATGGTTGGTTAGCATTCTATCATTAAACCGGCGACGCATCTCTGATCTTTAATGGCCCTGTGAATGATGTGGATTCTAGATGGGAAATTGCATTTCAAATAAAATTAATCATCATACTTACAGATCTTAAAGCTCCAGATTGATAATCGGCCCAAAAATCTTCAAGTTGATTAAGCCGTGTAAACTGAAGATTGCAGACGAATTCACCCAGCGAACGAGCTTTCAGCGTATTAGACGCTTGAATGAAAAAATCAATTTGCCTTTCAAGGAAGTCTTGATGAAGTGTCTGAATTCTTCTCTAATCGGATGGAATAAAAGTAACAAAAATTCTTTAAATGTTAAATAATATCTAAAAATAACCATTATAATCATTTTGAAAACCATTGTAAATCTTAGATTGCTTATTGTTTTTATGGCTGAAATGATCGAATTCAAAGTACACGCCTATACCGTTACAAGATTAAAACCAGTGATGACTAAGTGACTAACCTATCCACGTAGAACTTTGTACAAAAAATGAGTCAATTCAAGTTTCCACAGTTTGGAAAAGCACACATAGTAATAGGGGGAGAGGAATGCAATGGAACTACAATAGACAGAAAGAGAAAATAGTTAGATGAAGGATTAGCGCGCATTTCCAGGATAGGAAAGAAGACAAGGTGTGTTTTTGTTGTTAAAATACAAACTTCAATCATTATGGGCACCAAGAGATGCATCACACAAATGAAATTGCTGTTTCATAGTTTGTACGACGGCTGGGATACTACCCGGACGATTAGACTGAAGCAGACGGTTGTCTTCAGGGACCAACCTCCGAGCCTTTGACTTGATTTCTGATCCAGTAGACAGTGGGGCAGCTTCAGGAGCTATGTTCACATGGTTTCTGACGACTAAACCAGGTCTATACACTACTCGATCCCTCCGAATCGCGGAACCCATATACTCTACATGCTAGGTATCAGGGTTTTCCAGCTTCCCTAGGTAGACCTGCATGTCCACCAATCCGTTTGTATGCTACAGACATTCACATTCGCTGTTTTACTTTTTTCTGAGGAGCACCTAAGCCGTTTGAAGGCAGTAAATAAGACTTGCCTGACAGAGGCTATGAACTCGTCTTCAAATGGGCACATTTCGAGAGGAAGACCGATGTCTACCCACCCTCGACTATACCAGGTTATTTATTGGGGCAAGGTATGAATAATTCTGTGAGGGATTAAGCTTTTAACATCAGCATTTTCCGCCTATCACTGTTTACACAGTAAACTCAGAAGGAATATAGTTAGATTGTACACTTACAGATTGAGAAGTGATAGAGGAGATTTGCAGTCATTGTGTGATGGATGACGATACTACCCCCAATTACTTAGACTGAAATTAGGTGGAATGGGATTCGAACTCGTGCCTTATTGGTTGAATTCGACTGTCCAAGCCAATAGACCACATATTCGCAGACCAACATTGAATGAATTTAGTTTCTTTTGTAAAGTCTATAAGCCAACATAAGAAAGTGACTAGCCGTTCTGAGAGAACGTATCATTACTTTACGTTCCCAAATGAACATACAGCCTCTAGATTCAGCTTTACAGTTTCAGTGGGGGTGGGATTTTCCAGGGGGGCACGAGGTCGCTAGCCTCATACCCAACCACTCCTTTTTACCGGGCTTACCACAGGCTAAGGGAGCTTTAGTATTATATCGGCAAAGAATCGAATCCTGAACAAGTGTGTGGTTGACGAGTATCCTAACGCTGAACTATCAGCACATCAGCCACACAACTATTGTGTGAGGGCTCATGATACTACTCAGTTGCTGACGGTAAAGTACATCATTAGGCTAGAAGTTGATTGTTTAAGCCAATGAACCACATTTACATCGAAATGTCACAATATAACAAAAATTTAGATGGACATAGTATGCATTTGTAAGTTCAAAATGATTTCAGTTTTGTAGATCAGTATGAAAAATTTCCTATTAGAACATATTCACTATATTATGCAAAAAAAGAGTTTTCACTCGTTTCATGCTTCGCGACAATGAAATAAAATGAAAATTCACTCTATTTTCCTTTAAATTTAGACAGCTGGAAAAAGGCAATAATAATAATATAAACATAGTTGAGTTTATATAGAGACATACAGCAACTCACCAAACTTTCCGTTGATGGACCAAAATCAATACTGACATGTAGTTTAATATTACAATAATATTGAATTAATGAATTATTTGATGAAGAAGTAATCCCGACTCCACCTGCTGATAAAACAACATGCTTTAGTAAAACAGGAGCATTTGTTGATGGCTGTTGAGGATTGTTGACTGATGCCGCTGCTAAATTGTCTAGTAGTCGAATATACGGCGGTGGAGCAAGACCAAGTCGACCGCCATCATGATCATGAGGATTGTAAATAACAGGTACATCAATACCATTAGCTCCAAGGTTTAAGTCATTGTTATTATTATTATGAGGTGGAACAGCAGGATCCACGTGTTCTTGAACCTGTTGCGGTGGTGGGCGCCTCTCCACATTAACCATTGGCCTGTTATGAAGGCCTATAAATCTCGGTCCGTAAATTCCTGCATAATTATTATTGTTATTATTATTATTGTTATTGTTACCATTTGAATGACCACAAGATCGAGGAAGTACAGGATTAGGTATAATACTTAGATTAGATGATTGGTTTGAACGAGAAATAGCAATTAAATGCGGCATAATAGTTAATAAATGAAAAATTAAATGATTATTTGCAGGAAGAGAAGATGAAGACGACGGAGGGTTGAAATTATTCACGCAATTCCCAGGGGTATTGCTGTTATTCAATGAACTGGAATTTTCCAATGCTTGAGACAAAGTGGTATGTAAAGATGCTAGCATATTAATAAGTGATGCAGAAAGCATAGTATGCACAACAGGACCATTCAACGAATTTGCCATAATTGCTGATCTCACTTTACTGCAACATCGAAGAGGTGATATATCCGTACCATGCAACTGACCAGTTTTCGAAGATGATGGTGAAAACGATGATAACGACGATGAATTGATTGATCTACGTGCTCGTTTTACAATGTAACAGGGACTATCAGTGCCAGATGATTTCCTTTTCAAACTTAATCTATGGAAGAAAATATAATTATTGAATAGAGATTAAAAATGTGAATAAATGGGCGAATCATAAAAAGTAGTATTAACATAATGAGATAAAAACACAGAGCTGTGCACTCATAAGCGCATAGACAAGTAGGACATAATCAACACGATTCTCAATAACAGTCAATAACTTCATGAACTGATGAAACGTGACCAGTCTGACTATTATACTATTCCTTCTAACTTAATCCTACTTACAATAACGTAGGGCCTCCATAAACATCAAAGTACAGTTGATAGAGCATAGACTTTGACTTCCTTCTCCAAATGCTCTCACGTGGCCACACGTTTATAGCCTCTACGAGGTGAGTCCTACTCACTGACTTTACACAATGGGGATATTCTTCACAACAGTGAAAGCTAGAATGCGAACGCTTGGCGCTTACATCTGGATTGGTGAACAAGCAGGTCTACCTAGGTAAGCTGGAAAATCCTGATTCCTAGCATGTAAAGTATATGGGTTCCGCGATTCGGAGGGATCGAGTAGTGTATAGACCTGGTTTAGTCGTCAGAAACCATGTGAACATAGCTCCTGAAGCTGCCCCACTGTCTACTGGATCAGACATCAAGTCAAAGGCTCGGAGGTTGGTCCCTGAAGACAACCGTCTGCTTCAGTCTAATCGTCCGGGTAGTATCCCAGCCGTCGTACAAACTATGAAACAGCAATTTCATTTGTGTGATGCATCTCTTGGTGCCCATAATGATTTAAGTTGGTGTTCTATATATTAAAAATATAATAACGTAAAATAACAATGTGGGAGGTTTTTAAAAAGCAACTAAATTCGGCGTATAAGGTAATGCCCTAATAAATGAGTTGACTTCGATAAATATTTAAATATAGAAATTACTTCCTTACTAAAGCCATACCATATATTTACCATCGCTTGATCTATCATATAGATTTAACTCTATATCCTCTAGTTCTTAATAATACCCGTATTTAAATTGTATTTTTCTTTCCTTAACAATATTTTTTTTATTCTGTGAAAGTGATTCAGTAACTTTCGAGTAGAACACAAGAATGAAAACCAGTCATAGCAAACAGTCAATCGAAATAATTAAAAACACTTCTACAATGAAGTAGGTGGTAAGGAAGTCAAAACTATGGAACCTGCTGACTGAAAGCGAAACGTCACTTTGACAATGACTTCTTCTTTACGATGGACTCTTGGTCAGAAAAAAAACTTTTTCAGAGTTACGTTGAAGACAAATATACTCAATGAATTTATATTTCACGAAACAATCAATCAATACTTCAATTTAGACAAAAACTTTCTTTGAAAGTACTGAACTTAAGAAACCTAGATGCGAAATCAGCCTTCATCAAATAATGAAGAAATCTATGATCGAACAGGTAATGTGGTTGACTGAGTTTCAACATGGAACTTTGCACGGAAGTGCAGTATTTCAACCTGCTACACGCTGTAGTACACAAAGGTAGACGAAATATAGGGGAAAAAAGGGGGTTGAAAAGTACTATCACAGGCAGAAATGTGAGGAAGAATAGTAACATGGAAAAGCATTAGATCACAAAAGGTGAATGTAACTGTGCTATCGAGAACAATTTTGAAGCATACCTCCATCAGTCTCCAGCCGTTGGTTCCTAGCATCCCGGGGACCCAAACTAGGCTGCCTGAACCTCCCCACATAACTCAAACCAACTGTTGAAGACTTTATGGACAGATGTCAGGTTTTGGCTTGACCTCAACTTAATCCCATGTCAGCTAGCACTGCTTGATAAGAAAGGCAGTGACTCTGCAAACGCCAAATTTGTTCTAGCCATCTCAGTCTATGTAGCCTCAAAGTCTAATCGATTGACTTTCCTTCCTTCTTTTATGCTCTACACCCAACCTCGATACTACTCACTACATTACAGCACCTAAAACGAAAGATAAAACGCAAACATCTGTGGTCATAGTTAGTTTTTTCATATCTTCCAGTTTCAATAACCATGTCTTACAAACCAAAAAGGAGTGCAGGTTATATCATTGAATAAAACGCATACGACATCTACCTATTAACGTTCCAGATTGTTTTTTTATAGTACAACATATACGTTCTACACAGCTAAAATTAGTTCCAGCACGAAGTGATCCTGAATAAAAAGGACAACAACTATTAGAGAAAGATAACTGGATATCGTATTTGTATGCATTATTTCACGTGAAAATACAATAATACAAAAGAAGTAATTTATTATAAAATACGTACCTTGTGACTCGTGAACTTTCAACTGGCTGACGTCGTATTATTTCATATGCGGGTTCGGGATGTACTTCTTCTTCATATAACACAGAAGAATGCTCTAGAAACACGTTGACTTTATCCAAAAGTACTGAACAATAAAGTTACTACAAGAATATGCAACATTACCTTTTTGAAGTTCTTCTAGAGAACAATTTGCATGATTCGTATTATATAGAATTGTATCAAAATAAGGAAGTACATCTTGACGATCAATATACTTCAACATTTTCTGCATAGTCCTATGATTACTTTCATCAATCTGACCACATCGATAAAGATATCGAAACCCAAGTTCAGGCATACTCGTAGCTTGTGTAAGTTTTCTATTCCAGTCCGATTGTCTAGGCATCAAATCCCGATATTTATGTAGAGCCCTTTTGATATCCTTGTCAGAAAGCTTGGCTAAAATCCACCGATAGAGTTCGCCAACTGAAACTTGGCACTTCCAAAGTCGACAGTAACGTGGGTCACGTTCAGTGATACCATTTTGAGTCGACGACATTGTTATATACTACTAGAAGTAAGGGAAACGTGAAGAATTACTCGTAAAGTATCACAAAATTTTATTGATGTTCCGTTAAATACATTAACTGTTCAATGTAATGCATTTATTGTAACCATTTTTAACGCTTTTCTATGATATGGTTGTGAAGTTAAAAACTTGAAATATATCAAAATAATACAGTAGATTATGTTTATAACAAGGATTATGGATTGATTGCTAGTGAAAATCTCCAAAATGCGCCTCATCGACTTCCAAACAAAACGATACACGTCTAAATCCCGCTTTACCTACTTCAGCCTGAGCAGCTGGGTAGTATTATCAGCCACCAAACAATAATTGTAACTCATGGCTTGGCACATGACAAATCTGTTCTCAGTAACTAAGCTATAGCAGCCGAGATCACCTTGATGTGGTTGACCGTCCTCTAAGAGGATGATGCTGATTAAATTTGAAGTCTAAGTTGTCTAAGAGCATATAAACCATCAGTGGGTATCCAGTTGACTAGTTAAGTTTCAACTTTAGGGCCTAATTGGACACCAACTAGAATAAGATGAGACAAGTCTGGAGATTTTAGCAGTGGAGTATCGGAAACCTAATTTTCTAAGATTTCCTTTCATAATTCAGATAAACACAGATTACTGTACGTTAAACGAACGCCTACAGTCCTACTGAGAAACTTCCACATTGAGGAGAATTCTCCTTAAGACTGCAAGACATTAGGAATTACTAAAAGTAGGCTACTAACAGGGATGAACATCACTCCACTTATAAGGTCATTTCCATGCAACAGTACATGTAGCCATCAGTCGGTCAAATGATGCCACTTCTTTTTTGAAACCCTCTACCTACACTTACAGTGTCGTTATTTAGAAATCAGTCTTCTTAGATCTTCTCAAGGCATTCCATAAGGCGTCTTATTTAGCCCTTTTCAGTAAACCAAAAGGGTTTGGATTAGATCAATACTTATGCCATTGGTTTATTGACTACCTAATAGGTAGAAGGTAAAACATAAGGGTTAAAAAGCAAAAGAAATTAGGAATTACTGTTAGTCATGACATGAAAACAACGGCATAAAGTAATACAGTTGCAGCTAAGGCTTTCCAAATACTATGTTTAAAGTATTCCAGTCAGCATACCAGGCATCACCTACAATAGTGTATATCAGTGGTTAGTCCATGGTTTAAGGGAGCATGTATCTTGGAAAGAGTATAAAGAGTAGGAACTAAACTAGTCTATTTTATTACCCACCTACTTATGAGAAGAAGCTGTATCATTTAACACTCTTCTCGTTATCACATGAAGAAAAGGTGACTTAATTCCTGGTCATCGCACATTATAGCGTGAATTAAGTGCTGACCTTTCTACCCTTATCTCCCTTTATAGGACGTTTGTGACAGGTAGTCAAAAGGGTGGTCAAACCGCAGTCGAACAAAATACGTGTAGAATCTAAAATCTCATGTAAGGTGGTCAACGACCGATTAATTGAAAACAACCTGATCTGTAAACGCTTTCAAAAGGAAATTAGACCTATATACAGATATATATTGCAAGGATAAGCTACAAGAGCTTATTATCCGAATATGAATCTATGTAGGTAGAACGACTTTTTACATTTGTAAAGCCATTGAGATAATTCACCTCTTATGCCTTAGACTACACCTGTGGAGTCCTCAAAAATAAACTTATCCAACTTTTACTACTATGTGAGAAATTAACATATTGTACATTACATTACTGGGTCATGACCCAGAATGTAGTAAAAGTCAAGGACCTCCCAAGCTTACTATAATGCTGAATTAAATCTCACTAATTCTGAAATAATTCTACCATTCTATAGTGAGTAAATTCTGAATCTGTTTTGAAAAGGATTCTTGGCAAGAGTAAGCAATAGACACCAAAGTTAAATGACCTTGATTTGACCAATCAGATAGCTCAGCATTACAAATGGTTCCTAGTCATAATCCTCTTTGAAAGTGTCTCCTAGATTTGGTTTTTGACTTCTCTGTAGATGTGTTGATAGGGAGGAATAAAGCATGCATGTGTGGAAGGATAATAATCCTGGAAAAGTATCGCCAGGTTATTGATGGTTATACATTCAGATGCAATCACTTTATATGAGGAAGTCTGTATAAGTTGGTAAGTCGTACATAACTGGTGATTTTTTAGACACTTTCTTCTCGAAATCAAAGCTCTTCCTTAGTAATATATTGCGTATATGCAACCGGTATCTGCTACAGCTGGAGAAATAGAGAATACATTAGGTTGATATGTCTATTACCGTTTCTATGAGAATCTGGGACCAGTTTTCGCAGCATATTAGAGATATATACCCTAGATTCATTTTTATTATATATGTCGTAGATAAGTTTCTTTGTAAATTAAGTACCACTACTCACCTAGAAGAATCTGATTGGCCGTTTCGAGGTCGTCTGAAGTTGGTGTCTATTCTTTACTGTTGCCGGATTCCTTAATGGCACAGACTAGAACTCAGTGCTGGCTTTCAGCATGACTGGTACTAATTCAGCACCGTGTTCTTTTTCTTGGTATTTTCAGGAGTAGATCAGAACCTACTGGGTTCCGGACTTCACAGGACATATTAAAAACGGACTAGCGTTACTTCAGAACGAAAAGACTTAATTCAGCACCCAGATCTCTTTTTGACCAAGTTAAAATTTAGGCACCACTGACTACCAATGGAGTACGACCGCACCAACGACCTTGAAACGCTCACTGAGCAAGTCAGTGAAACCTGGAGAATAATGTTATCACCAATAAAATATGCTCATTAAAGTGTTATAGTATTAAATGGGATTTTTAGCGAGTTTCAGCTTAGTTTTGGGAAAGATTAAGTTACCCTTCTTAAACAGGACCAGCGTTATTTCAGAACATAGTGGGTAGATAAAATATTCATTTATCATAAAAAAGCATTATCGAAGAAGAGGTTAGAATAAGTTTAGAATTGTTGTAAGCTTGGGATTTACACGACCGTCAGGGCAAGTTGTCTTACAGAGTGCTGGAGAAAGTGATTGATCAACTGTCTACATTGTCTAAAATCACCGCACTGCTAAATAGACAGTAGGACTACAATAGTTAATGCTTTTTAGATTCAGATTATAAGTATAGAAGGCTCTTGTTTCCTATGTTAATCCTCGCGATATATATCTCTGCAAAGATCCAGTTTCTCTTTGAAAGCGTTCACCGATGGAGCTGTTACTACTGAATCAGGTAAGGAGTTCCAGTCGTTTACCACTCTGTGAGAGAATCTAAACTCCAAACGTATTTTATTCGACCTCGGTTTGAGCACCTTCTTCTGGTGACTCCGTAAATGTATCCTAGAGGAAGAGAAAAAGTTTGAAAGGCCAATCCCTAAATCACCCTTGAATATACGGTAAGCCAAAATTAAGTTGCCTCTCCTCCTTCGGTATGATAATGGGAAGAGATTTAAATGCTCCATCCTCTTATCATAAGGAAGGTGTGAGATACCACTAACTAATTTCGTTCCTACCCTCTGTACTCTTTCCATGGTATGTGCCTCCTTTTTGAAGCATGGACTCGCCGCTTGTATGCAGTACTCTAGATGAGGTCTGACATATGTTACATAGAGTAGTTGGAACATGCCCTCATCTAATCGTTTGAAAGCCCTTCGAAGTACCCATAGCATTCAAAAAGCCTTAGCTGCGGCTCGATTACAATTTGCCGTTGTTTTTAAGTCATGGCTAACAAGTCCTTTTGTTCCCTAACATCTGGCAGTTCTGTGTCCCCCATGGAGTACGACTTGTAAGACTTCTGACCTAGGTGCATTACCTCGCTTTTCTTGGAATTAATTTACAGACTCCAAAGGTTAGCCCATTCAGCTTATTTGTCTAGATCGTTTTGTAGTACCGACCTATCATCGCTACTATTTACGGTTTTCCATATCTTAATATCGTCCGCAAATAGTAAGAAAGATGAGGTAAGAATTTTCGGCACTTTATTTACGTATAATAACAATAGCAGGGGGCCAAGTATAGTTCCCTGAATGCTGTAACACATCTGGAAAAACTGCTTCATGTTACATAAAACGCCTATTATGTACAAAAGGTTATCAACAGTTTTAATGCAACTTACTGAAACCTTCAGTAGGTTACTGTATTGAACTCAACGAATCGAAGAATTCAAAATTAAAATGCCAGAACACACATCGCTACGGACCTGTGGTTTGTAACGCAATCGTGTAATCACCCGCCGATGTCCAATATCGTTTATTCGAGCTATTGTAAACCACTTTGATTTCTTTATTCTGGGTTCTTGTTTGTGAGGTACATTTGTTTGGTGTTCGTTATGCTTCACCCACTAGACTGTGTTAACTCCGGCAGATTTCAAAAGGAGTGATTCAAGGACTAATTATATGTACTTCCAATAAGGATGAAATTTAAATTTTAGAAAGATTTTGATAGAGTCTCACAGTATTTTATGCAATAATGTTTGCCAATGACATCTTGAGCACAATTTATTGCTCATAATCGCATCAAGTTGATCATATGTAGTCTGTAGTATGAGCAGTATCCCGACAGTGAATGGAGCTGATCCTTTCAACCATTAGTCGTCTGATATCGTCGGAAAAAACAGATAATAATGATAATGATAATAACAAATAATTGGTGGAAGTTATGCAGGTCTAAAAAGGAAATAAAGAAAACTCAAAAACCGACAGCTAATGAATTAGGTTTGAGGAAAATCAATGCTCGAAAAGCAGCTTCACCTCGAATAGAGAGAAAAGCCCCAAACAATCGGCCAGTACAAGTACAAGGTCTGAAAGTGTTAACTGGTATGTTATCATAAAAAAACAATGACTAATTCTGGCTAAGAGATTAAAGTATATGTTTCTAGTCTTTTTCCTTTCACATTCCTAGTGGAACACGGGGCTTCAAGCTTGAGCTTTGAAGTGTCAGTAGCCGTTGTGGTCATCGCTTATTATAGCTTATTTGTGGAAGTTGGTTTACATCGCTGGAAAAGTGTCGCATCATATTCATACACAACATAAAAGAGAAATACAATTATTCCGCATCTATAAATCAGACACGTCAGTTTCACGAGTGTGGACAGAACTGGATATCTTCTAATTTCATCACGACCTTCTTATATCGTGTAGATTTTAACTTTTTAAGTCCAGTTCATATCATGTGAAAACTCAGGCTTGTTCACAAATGCTTACGTGATGTGTATCCAGTTTACAGCTTACTGCACAATGAGAGTACATACATCCTTCGGATGAATCAACAGAAGGTGCTGAGGTAAAATGCCTCCGTAGATATTTCCCATGATTCACGGTTCAATGCAGGCGGTCAGTTGAGAAATTTTGGATGGAAATAGGAAACCACTTCTCAACCACCGAGTCCACAGCAGAAATAGATCTGGTCTATCAAACCCCTCTTCATATGTAACAATTGACAACCACTGACAGGTTAAGTCCCATTCTAAAAAATAGATACACCACCCAGGTTGAATATTTCAAATTTTTAATATACGAAAAATTGAGGCGCAACTTACTTCATCAGCTTCCATAACGAAAAGCGCCTGTTTACTCCCAATCTTTGTCTCCTCTCCTTAGGAGGCACTAAATCTAGCTTCTTGTCGTCATCTCAGAGATGTCTTGCCTCCAACGAAGCTTGAGTGGGTAACCCTTTCTAAATCTCTGTCAAAGTAGATGAACATGGCATCCGTAAGATTATTAACGTCATCTGCTGCAGCCCAAATTTTTCGTATCAGAAATAGAACGGCAAGTTTAAACTATTCTTCCTTAAAGCCACTTTGATCCCCGACGAGAAATGTATTGCCCTTCAAATGATTCACAGGCGGTTCTCTCTTTGACCACATTACTAGTTAGATTGATGAGATGGGATTTCCTAACTGAATTTCTTTGTCAGGTTTTGAAGACCAAACTGACGACGGCAAGTTTCCAGTGCCCTGGAGACTCACACTGGCCAAGTATGTATGTGCTATATGACACTGACAATAGTTTGGATATGATCCTCGCCACAGTAGACAATATTCATCTATGGCTTAATATTTACCATTATCCAGATCCAGGAGCAGTTTAAGTTAGTTCCCTTCCTAATGTGCGGATGCTTCATCCCTAAGTCACTTTCCACGGGATTCATAATTCCCAAAGAATAAAGTAGCTTGGTGGCCTAACTTTGAATAAGAATTAACATACCACGCAAAGCAACCACCTGAGCTGTGTTTTGGAATATGCCATATATTTATTTCCGGCAAAGACGATTGACTGATCCTGTCTAGTACTTGTCTTAATAGATAGATTAGGAAGGGTGTAAAATTTATGGGGAAACACTAACAATTATACACTGTTTGGCGATTTGGAAGTAACCATTGTCATGTATGCGACCCTTAGTACTGATTGAACTCCCCAGGTTAAGCCTGAAATTGAAGCACCAGTCCAGGTGACTCGTCATCGAGGTTTATTTTAGATGGATATAAGTTAGTTGGAGGCAGGTAGCAAGCACGTAGCCGTACCTAGGTTTCGTGCAAACTGGAACACATTCATAGATGTCTGTACAGGTTTGGTGGGACTTAGATAGCATCTTGCATTTATAGATGTCTCCTCTCAGCAGACTGTAGAGCTTCCATTAAAATGTTTCAACTATGCACGAAAAGTGATGCTGAAGATCTGGAGTCATTGTAAGCCTTCTCCCCGGTTCTGAGAGGGAACTCGCTCTCACTACCGGGATAACATTCATTAATGGATAAAGATTTTCTTTCAGTAGTTGCCTCAACTGTCGATTTCATAGGAGCAGTGTGAGAGTATATTAGTCAATCCGTTATGTATCGGTCGCATGGATTAAAGACTCGAGACGTGATTGAGAAGGTCGGGAAGCCGACTGGGTGAACTGTTGTCTGGTGATAGTTAGATGACATGATGAGTGTGTTGGATGAAATTAGCAACAATAAAGAAGGACCTGGAACAGCAGTGAAGTTTATAATTGAAACCGATAAATTTTTAACCACACGTGGTTGACGGAATATTCGACGCACGAAGTTGTGTTGGGATTGAGCACACTCACCCACTTTTTAGTGTAACGATGCTATCATCTGGCTCCAAAATCAAAAAAATATCTTAAAAATGTAGTTCATAATTAAGAAGTGGTCGTTAATGGAGCTAGCTTTAGAAATCAGAAGCTTTTATTACAAGGTGGGTACTCGGGATTTAGTATAATAGGGTTGATTATACGCGGAAAAGAGGACCAGTAATTATTGGAAGACATTGGTCCTTATTTCTTCAGGGATTTTGTTTTGCAAGGCTGTTTCCCCTGGTGAGTTGGCGATAAAAGTTTCCAAGATGGAACTGGTAACAGCTAGTTCTAGACTTATGATAATCAGAAAGTAAAGTACCCGTTAAGAGACATTTCTAAAATTGTACATAACTGGTGATATGTGAGGTAGCATTCCATTTTCATTTCCTGCCTGGTTGGACGTGGTGAGCAATCGTCCCGCCTATGCAGAAGTTTAAACTGATACACCGTTAGTAGGCTTGGATTTCATTTGCGATTATAGGACTGGCGTACAGTAGCGTACAACAACGAAATGGGTTAATAGCATGAGAAGTATTAGCACTTCTCTTTCTCCGATAGCAACACTGCTGACCACAAAGAGACCAGATGGATTTTCAAAGCGGAACTTTGTACAGAAGTGCACCAGTAAATTTTGCCACACTTTGTACAGCACACAAAAGTGGAGAAAATTCAGATGAACTAGGGTGAACGGAAAAACATGGGAGAAATATGAGGATTTAGTGTATCCAAGAGATTACATAGAGCAAGTGCATCTGTGCCACTGAAAAAGGTTTTGAGTCATAAATAAAATAGTCTCTGAACATTAGTTTGTGGCATCCAGATGATCCAAACCGGAAATTCTACATCCCCTTCATGAAGAAAACCAACAGTTAATGATTTTAAGGCCTGGTGCTTGGTTTTCATTTGACCACCTCTAAGGCTTTTACGACGTAATCCTATGTTAATTAACGCTTCTCGACAAGAAAGGCAGTGGTCTGTCACACTTAACACATGTTCTAGCCTTCTCAATATGCGTAGCATCTAAACCTCGCACATCGACCTACACTTCCTACCTAATACTCTGGGACTAACCTCAACATTACTCACGGGCGATTATGTCATATTCCTTTATCAAAGTGCGTCGCCTTCATCAGGTGGCTTTTGGGGCGTTGCAACAAAGTGTTCAAAATTTGCCGGCATAATTTCATGAAAATTTAATGACATGCGCCTAATTTCTGAATTTACTTCCTCCTTTAATTCATTACATTGCACAGATATCAATAACGAGCTGCATTTTGTAAGAGTGGGGCGAATGTAACGCGGTTCAAGAATATAATGCCACGGATGATACGCATGCCAGAAAACGTTTGTCGATTTCAAATTTCATGTAAAAGGCATATAAAGTATATGACTTGCCTTCAAACTGCCACAGAAATGGACTGCAGTACCACAATTTGAGGGGATATTTGATGAAGCCGCTTCCACCGATTAGCTTAAAAAAGGTTAAAAATTAGTAAATAAGGATAATGTTCTCGTATATGTTCCGAGAGAAACTCTCGTTTTCTCATAATAGTCCTCATAGTTAGATTAAATCAATTTCTGTACATAAATTCGTTGAGATGATTGTAAGTCTGACAATGCTCCATAGCAACTAGTATATCATGATTTCTGAGATTGTAACTGATGACAGAGGTAGCTTCAGTCATTGGCCTGGAGGAATGCAAGAGGAAATTATTCTGCCTGTAGTAGAAAATAAGGCTAAGCTTAAAATGTTCCTTCCAGAGTGTTTCTATTTTCAGTCTGTTGCGATGCTCAGAGTAGGCGAGACTGAATTCTAAACCAAGAGGTTCAATTGTGAATTGCCGTTGCACTCCATCCAATTTAAGCTTGTCGCTCAATCGTAGTCCGCTAACAATAAATAAGTTTATATAATGAAGCACTAATTCCACAGCAAAAGAAATTGCGAGTTATGCATCCTAGGAGCCTTCGCGTTTTACGTCTGCCATAATAATTTCTTTCAGCGAGCGTTAAATTACTAGAGTATCTGACAGCAAGATCTACGACTGAGTTGAGCTTGGCTAGTTTTCACCCATTCACTTCAGGTGTTTGGTCAAGGTTACTGTTCCCGAAGCAAATCCAGCCACATTTGTCAATGCTAGACTTCAGACAGCATTTAGC